TTTAGAGGGCGCTGCTTTGCTTGCAACCGGCCGGGCCATCGCAAGAGCGAATGTCCAGAAGAGCTGAGGCGTCGAGGAGCAGAGCAGGGGAGGGAGTCTCAGAGGCAGGGAAACGCCAGCAGTCAGTAGAAATTGGGCCAACTACTGACGAGACTGCCTGCTCGCCCAACCACACCGACCCTCACCGAGTCACAGTACCGATTCACGCCATCGATCGGGCTCGGATGAATAAGGAGGGTACAGCGACGGATTGCCCAGTACTGATCCACGGGAAAATACAGGGAGCAGCAGTCAAGATTTTCATCGACGGAGGAGCTAGCCACAGTTTAGTTAATACCGCAACCGCACGAAAACTTCAACTGACACTTAGCCGATGTTTACCTGAGATTGATGCGCGCTTAGTCGACGGCACGCCGCTGGCCATACGGGAGAAGGTGGAGAGAGTAAAAGTTCGCTGCGGGGGGAACTTCGGGTTTACACAGGAAATGCTCGCGACGACACTGGATGGGCACGACATTTTATTGGGACGTGATTGGTTGCGACGTTACAATCCGAGAATCGACTGGACGACGGGCAGCTGCACTGTGCGAAGTAGTGGTAACTGGGTCGAACTACCACGCTGGCAGTCGCCTGAGTCATCGACGGTCCACGTCAACGCCATCACAATGAAACGAGCAGTCGCCGCTGGAGCTGACGTGTATGCAGTAGACATCGCAGTGGTAGAAAAAGATGAGCAGCCGAGTGATTTCCAGAAATTGCTGACAGCGGTACCGCCGGAGCTACAAGAGCTATTGAAACGGTACCCGGGAATTTTCCCCGACGACTTACCGGAAGGACTGCCACCTCAGCGGGCGCACGACCATAGGATAGAGTTAGAGCCGGGGGCACAGCCAACTGTACAGCGCCAGTTCAGACTGACACAGCCGGAGCTCGACGAACTGAGGAAGCAGTTAGATTACCTGTTAGCAAAGCAGTTTATCCGACCGAGCTCGTCGCCGTTCGCCGCACCGATACTATTCACACCAAAAAAAGACGGAGGTTTTCGCATGTGCATCGATTACCGAGCGCTCAACAGGGTTACAATAAAGTCACGATACCCCATTCCCCGCGCCGACGAACTGATCGACCAACTGCGAACAGCACGGGTGTTCTCGAAAATAGATCTACGGGGAGGTTACCACCAAATTAGAGTCGAACCATCGGACTGCGCCAAGACAGCTTTTAGAACTAGGTACGGGTCGTTCGAGTACACCGTGATGCCTTTCGGGCTAACCAACGCACCCGCAACATTCCAGATGACCATGAACGAGGCGTTTAGACCACTTTTAGATAAGTGCGTGATCGTCTACCTCGACGACATTCTCGTCTACAGCCGCGATAAGCAGCAGCATTTAGCGGACCTGGAAGCAGTGTTTAAAATTCTCGAGGAGCATCGTTTATTGACTAAGGGGTCTAAGTGCGAGTTTTTTCGGGATAGGTTAGAATTTTTGGGGCACGTTATTTCGGAGGCTGGGGTTGAGATTGACCCGAAGAAGCTGGATACGGTCAAAGCTTGGCACCCCCCGACAAACATCACGGAGCTGCAGAGTTTTTTGGGTTTCGTTAATTATGTCCGTCGATTCGTGCCTGACATGGCCCGCTTAACTGCCCCACTGACGGATCTGCTGCGGAAAGGGGTCGCTTTTACGTGGGGGGAGAAAGAGCATGCTGCCTTCTCTACCCTGAAAACTGTTCTCTGTTCACCACCTGTCCTGCGCATTGCCGACCCACACCGCCCATTCGAAGTCATTACTGACGCAAGCGACATCGCCATCGGAGCCGTACTGTTACAGGATTTCGGGAACGGCCTACAGCCCATCGCATACGAATCACGAAAACTGCACCCACCTGAGAAGAATTACCCGATACACGATCGCGAAATGCTTGCGATCGTGCATGCGTTCAAAGTGTGGCGCTGTTACTTGACCGGCGCAGACGTGACAGTACGGACAGACCACAAATCTCTACAGTACCTCCGCGCACAGCCTCACCTCAACCCACGACAGATTCGATGGCTCGATTTCCTCGAGTCGAATTTTCACTACACGGTCACCTACAAAAAAGGAGCATCAAATATCGCCGATGCACTGACTCGCCCTACTGCCCAGATTCACGCGATACTACTCGCCCAGACCAGCCCACTGCTGACAGGCCTATTTACCCACGGATACCAAACCGACCCGTTCTTTACAGGAGGCAACTCGCAGCAGTTCGCAGCAGCACGAGGGATCTATTACGTAAAGGTTGGGACCGACCGCATTTGGGTACCCGGGTATACACTACTACGGGAATTACTGTTACAAGAGGCACACGACGGAGTTACCTCAGGACATTTCGGGGTAGAAAAAACACGACAGCAGCTGCAGCGGTATTATTACTGGCCAGAAATGTTGACCGACATCCAACGACACGTAGCATCATGTCCCACCTGCCAGGTCATGAAATCATCACGGAAGCGGCCGGCAGGACAGTTGCAGCCGATCCCACCCCCAGAGCGTGCTTGGCAGCAGGTGACGATGGACTTCGTCACGGGGTTACCGGCCGGGGCGAGTGGGAACGACGCGATCTTGGTCGCCGTCGATCGACTGACGAAGATGGCACATTTCGCAGCATGCAAGAAATCAATCACAGCCGAAGAAACAGCCCGCCTCTTCATCACCACCGTCGTTCGCCTCCACGGGATACCATCGGCAATCATCAGCGACCGCGACACGAAATTCACCAGCAACTTCTGGCGGAACCTGTGGCAGCAGTTCGGCACACGACTTCAATTCAGTTCATCCTATCACCCCGAAACCGACTGACAGACGGAACGGACAAACCAAACCATGGAGCAGCTGATTCGAGCCACGTGCGACGATCCGAACACGTGGGAACATCAGCTGCCGCTCATCGAGTTCGCGTACAACAACGCACCATCAGCCACGACGCAACAGTCACCGTTTTACCTGAACTACGGACAGGACCCAACAGTACCCATGACCCCACACCCCGACAATCCAGTCCCACGAGCCCAACAGTTCGCCGAGATTTTGCAAGCAGCACGGACCAGGGCAGCAGACGCAATTAAAAAAGCCAACATCATCGCTAAACGAAACGCCGATCGCCACCGTCGACCTGTCACTTACCAGCCAGACGACCTGGTACTACTCGATACCCAGAACCTCCGCCTGCCCATCACTCCAAAACTTCGCCCCCGATATTGTGGGCCATTTCGCATCAGCCACATGATCACACCCGTCACCGCCCACCTCCTCCTCCCTGCTGACTGGTACGTCAGCCCGTCATTCCACGTCAGCCTACTTCGCCCTTACATACCATCCACGAGCCAACTGCCACGAAATCGCCCAGCCAGCATGACACGTCCCCCAACCGAACCACTAATCACCCCTGAAAAAATCCTCAGCCACCGAGTCCGCAACCCTCGGGGAGCACGACGGATCGAATTCCTAATTCGCTGGAAGGATCGAACGCCCACAGAAGACAACTGGGTCCCCCTGGATAAAATTGAGAACCACCCTGTCTTCACCGAGTATCTGCGAAGCCGAAATTTCCGCGACGTCCATGCGCTCTCGTAAGAGGGGCCTCCTTGGGGAGGGGGGTAGTGTAAGGAAATTCCCTTTTCCTTACTTCGCGTCCCTGCTCAACGCGTACATCACTGTAGCACCTCAGTCAGCACCGTTACCACTCGCGACCATCGCATCATTCATCATCCCGCCCTTTTCGCACATCGCATCCCGACCTCACGGCTCGGCTGGTAACCCGCGCTCCGGGCCTACGCTTCGACACTTTCCCAACCTCAGTCCCAGGCTCGTCGCGCGACAACCACAGTCCATTACCGTTACCACTATTGCTTCGCTATATAATCCTTCGCTCATGCCTTCGCTCATTTTGTACTCCTGCTTCGATAGTGCAATTCTCGTTCGTTCACTCAATTGCACTCGTAACACAATCCGAAAATTGAACGGGGGAACAAAAATGCAAGGACCCAGATTACAATTCACATGTGTTGTGTACCGTAAAAGCGCCACATGTGATACTTCGAGTCCAGCAAAAGAGCACATCCCTGAAATCCACCACGGTACTATCCAGGAGAAAATGGTTTGATATGCATGTTAGGTATCGCCTCTTGAAAACACACAAATAAAGTCTTCAGTCGCTTTCCCTGGATTAGGCACCCTAAGAAAATCACTCCTTTCACCATACAAGTCCACATCCCTAGCAACACACATGCCCCCAAACCTCTCTACAGCCCAGCCAGGCAGCTCCCCAGACTGCAAGTCTCTGCCAAACCCTCCCAATTTTGCTCCAACAATATCCTTTGCAACCAGGAGCATCTTCTTCAAGTCCATTAAATCCCGGTCGGTGAGTTCGATCCGCCGTATGTGGATGTGGTGCCACTTGCATGCAAGGTTTTTGTGCATGCATTCCTTGTAGCTCAACCCCTCGAATTCCGCCAAGTCTCCTTCCTGTGCCTCCCCTTTGCGGCACATCTTGAGAAAATACGGAATGCCCGAGTTAAGCGAGAGCGAATAGTAGAGCTCGTGCACGACGCCGTACGGCATTACCTCGATTAATGCGGTGGTGCGGCGGGCGAAGAGAGCCACGTTGGTGAGGGCAGCTCCATGCAGGGAAATCACAATGTCAGCGGATTGAATGGCTTCGAATTGCTGGCGAAATGTCAATTGACCCATCTCTACCATTGTCACCTGAAGAATGAACATGTAGGGAGTTATATGAACACCAAAGAGTGTAACCACCAAGGAGTTGTAGTGTCATCCATAGCAATAACCACATATAGCTCAATCACCTATAGTCACAGACATTTACACCACGTTCTTAGATGCCCTTTCCACTCGTTAAATGCATTCACTTACAACATGTTTGGGCTGCCCCACACCACATTCCGAGGCCTGACTGCATGGAACCTACCAGGAGACTACAAGGAACCAACCAGCAACTCACCAAGACGCCAACCAGGAGCTCACCTGCAACCCAAGCTCCTCCATCAGCTTCAGCAGCGCCTCATGACTCTCCGGCAGGAAGGTGCGACGAAGCTTCAACTCCGCTCCCAGCCGTGTGATATACAACACTCGAGGCCGCCACCCCCGCACCCCATCCCTTCCCCACTCCACTTTTCCAGGCGGATCCAACCCTAGCTTCGCCCGCAGGTGCCGGTCCAGGAAGGTCCCCTGGGTGGGGTGGGACGGGAATGCCTGCCCCTTGAGAACCCCCGGGAGGAGGAGCCTTTCGAAGCAGAGAGGGCGGGCTTCGGTGGCGGCGTTCCATGCGGATTCGAATTCCACCAGCCCGAATGCCATGGGGGCATCTCCCAGTGTTCTGTGGTCGTGGCTGGTGTGGAGCAGGGATACAGGGATGGAGAGTGTGCAGGGAATTCGGAAGAGCAAGGATATAGAGAGAGCAAGGATACAGAGAGAGCAAGGATACAGGGAGAACAAGGGTGCAGGGAGAGCAAGGGTGCAGGGAGAGCAAGGGTGCAGGGAGAGCAAGGGTACAGGGAGAGCAAGGGTGCAGGGAGAGCAAGGGTACAGGGAGAGCAAGGGTACAGGTAGAGCAAGGGTGCAGGGAGAGCAAGGGTGCAGGGAGAGCAAGAGTACAGGGAGAGCAAGGGTACATGGAGAGCAAGGGTGCAGGGAGAGCAAGGGTGCAGGGAGAGCAAGGGTGCAGGGAGAGCAAGGGTGCAGGGAGAGCAAGGGTGCAGGGAGAGCAAGGGTGCAGGGAGAGCAAGGGTACAGGGAGAGCAAGGGTGCAGGGAGAGCAAGGGTGCAGGGAGAGCAAGGTTAAAAGGAGAGCATGGGTGAGTAAAAACGCCAGAAGAGCACTGATGCAGATAGAACAAGGAAGCAGATAGAACAAGGACGCAGAGATTGCAAGTATGCAAGCATTGGTGAGAGGAACAACATACAGTTGGCGAGGCATGTGGATGCGAGGGAGAGCACGGGCGTGATTTTGAGGCGCCTTAAAAGTCATTAATGCGAGGGCAACGTACAGTTGGCGAGACATGTGGATGCGAGGGGAGAGCACGGGCGTGACGGCGAACTCTATCATTGCCTGCAGCAACCGCGCGTGCACCGCTTCGCCTCCCTTCATTCTCATCCTAGATACGTGACACAGAGGGGGTGCGTGACACAAGAGGTTGTGTCAAAGGGTTTTGTAACAAGCGAATGTGACACAAAGGGGATGTGACTTTTGTGGCAAGGACAAGCCTGCCGATTCAAACGTGCGTTCATTGCTCACTGCTCGCCGTTCAACGGCCAGCTCCTCCCAAGGGAGATTGAAGAAAGTGATCATGGCATAGCAGAGCCGTGGTAAAGCAGCTTAAGCCAGTCGCAGCGGCCAAAAAGCTCCTGCTTAGGGTTTAGGGTTTGTGCTCCACAGGGCTCACCCTAACTGAAGCGCCCACTCACTTTTCTCGATCCAGCTTTTTGTGAGGAAGCATAAAGCAAGTAACCATGGGGCGCAGCAGAGCTGGAATGAAGGGCCCGCTGAGGGCCCTAAGCGAGTTGCAGTGCCCTACATGACTCACCCACCGTGTGCTTACTTTTCTAGAGCCAGCTCCCAGCGGGGGAGCATGAAGCGAGTGACCATGGGGCGTTGCAGAAACATCATAAATGACCCACTCACTCAAGGCCTAAGTGAATCACAGTGTATGCTCACTTCTCTAAAGCCAGCTCCTCACAAGGGAGCATGAAGCGAGTGACCATGGCGTGTAGAAGAGCCAGAGTGAAGGGCCCGCTCAGGGGCTTAAACGAGTTGCAGTATCTTACAGGGCTCACACTGTAGGGTGCATCCTAACCCACGCAGTTACTTACTTTTCTAGAGCCAGCTCCTCACGAGGGAGCATGGAGCGAGTGACCAAGGGGTGTAGCACGGCATGAAGGAGCCGCTGAGGGCCTTATGCGAGTTGCAGTGTCCTACAGGGCTCAACCAACCTAACATGTGCTCACTGCTCACTCCTCAATGCTCACTTTTCTAGAACCAGCTCCTCACGAGGGAGCATGAAGCGAGTGACCATGGGGCGCAGCAGGGCTGGCGCCGTGAAGTTGTTGGCCAGAAGGAGTGTGAGGGCCTTCTCTGTGAGGGCGGGGAGAGGGACAGACAGGGTGATACAGCATATCTCACAGCATGAGGCTGTTGCAAGGGAAGTGACCACGCAGCGCAGCAGAGCTGGCACGCTGTGAAGTTGGTGGCCAGGAGGAGCGTGAGGGCCTTCTCTGCAAGGAAGAGAGGACGAGACTTGACAGGAGGGATTGGCGTTCTTCCTGGCATCATAACCAGAGAAGCTTTTGGGCGGGGGAACTGTGAGAGCCTTCTCTGCGTTTTGATGGGAGAATGGGCAGAGGGGGCAGGTAGGAGAGGGGGAGGAGCAAAAGGACGTGTGAGTGTGAGGTGCAGCCATGTTCAAGCCTTCCACACACACACACACACACACACACACACACACACACACACACACACACACACAAAAAAAAAAAAAAAAAACTAACGAGACAGAGAGGGGATTGATAGAAGCAACGAGAGAGGGTGATTATGGATGGACAGGGGAGCTTGAGTCGACCAACAAAGTACACAAGAAACAGGAGGTGAGAGAACGATGTTTCAGCCTACCAAGGAGGACAACCCAACAGGACAAAAAAGGTACTTGATGAAAGAGCAGAGATGGGGGGAGGGGGAGAGGTAGATAGACAAGGAAGTTTTGACTTGGCCCAAACCACTCTATAATGTAACAAAATCACCTGAAAGGGCTCAAGTTCAAGTGAAAGGCATCGGGATCATCTGACATGCCTTAGAACTGGATACCTACCTGCAAAGTGGAGATAAAGACTCCGAACAAGTTCTGAGACACCTCCTACCAGATTTACTTACCTGCTAACTGAAAAACCTACCTGCAAAGTGGGAGAGGTTGACGGAGCTGTCATTGAACCGCTGAAGCATGGTCAGCCCAAACTGCCAGTCCACCTCCCTCCGGCTCCCCAACCACCCTTCCCCACCATCCCCCCTTCCGCCCCCCCTCCCGCCTGCGCTTCGCTCAGCCAAGCGAGCTTCTGCAGTTATGGAGACGATATCCGAGAGTGCAGAGGTGAATTCGCGCTGGTGCGTGCAGTCTACGGGGGAGAGAATGGGGTCCTGGCCGGGTGGAGGTGCGGTGTGCTCTGCTGCTGGCGCGCACTTGGGTTGACCGAGAGAAATAAGCTGGAAGGAGGAATGGGAACGGAAACAATCATGACGAGGGTGGTGATGTAAAACGTTACCTGAGTGCATGTGTGGTCCTCCAAGGGGGGTTAGGATGCTGCGTGATCTGCTGCTGACTTTTGAGTCGACTGATATGAATCACGACAAGTGTGGTGATGCGAATCTTTCCTGGTGGTGTGTGTGGTCCACGGGGAATTGGGGTGCTGTGTTAGGGTTGGTGTTGGGGGATGGCGTGGGTGCATTCACCTGATACCCATGTGCGCCACTGCATTCACCTCATAGCAGTTTCCAACAAATGAGCACGCACATGCGAAAGTACTGGTGGCAGCAGTGACACATGCTGGTGAGCAGTAGCATTATTCGCATTCAGCTCATAGCCTCAGTCCCTCGTAGCCTCATTCCCCTCATAGGCTCATTCCCTCGTAGCCTCATTCCCCTCATAGCCTCATCCCTCTCATACCCCCATTCACCTCATAGCCGTTCCAGCACATAGGCGAGCAGATGCACATGTACTGGTGGCAGCAGTAGAGGCCTATGCTGGTGAGACGTTGCATTATTCACATTCACCACATAGCCTCATTCATCTCACAGCCTCATCCCCTCAAAGCTTCATTCCCCCCAGACCCTCATTCACCTCATAGCCGTTCCAGCACATGGGCGAGCAGATGCACATGTACTGGTGACAGCAGTAATCATTGCGAATGTGATAGCAAGAGCATGACGTCTGCTGCTGAGTCAGCGATGCCACATCAGCATCCTTTTCAAATGTCGCCAGCATCTTATCCACCTGGTGGAGATGATGCAGGGCAAGGAATCAAACAGAGCGACAAATAGGGGACAGGTGGGGATATATGCAAGCTCAGAGAGCAAAATCAAAGGAGGCGGCAAATTGAGAATGCCAGGTGGTCTCATCCTTACATTTACAGTTAATCCATGATGACAAGACAGCTTAGAGAAATATAATTGACACATTCGCCACTGGCAGGGGAAACAACTCTCAGATTGGTGACAGTATGATGACGCATCATCAATTTTGAGACGTCTCAGAGTTTGAAACGTCTCAGAATTCTCCGCGGGCAGGGAAAACAGCTCTCAGGCGGATGCTTGCATTGCACCTCGTCCTCGCCGGAACTTACTCCACGAGGCAGCATCACCAGCGTCGGCCTACACTTTAGGTCAGCATAAGATCTGGAATAGACTCAGGCACAGAAAAATCGTCTACTTCCTCTCACTTGAGCTTGCAGCATCTGATCCATCTCCTTTCGTCGCTCTGCCGCGGCGTTTGCGCGGACTCCAACGGCGATGTCCCGGCTCGCGGCGAGGACTAGGAAGAATAGAAGGAACAGTACGCATTCGGACCGCCATGAAGGATTTCTTCTTCTTCGACCGCGTGCAGCCATTTCTGCCATCATGAGCCTTCCTTCTGCTAGCTCCTTCCTTACGCTAGAAATGGTGACAGGATAATCATCGCTTCAACTGGCGGCTTTTGAGTCCATTCGCATCAAATCCAGTTCGCTTTGACATCGAAGGATGTTGTTTATAATGGCTTGACTCTGAAACTTGTGGTTCGTCTGCTCCATGACACCCGGTGTACGGTACGTCATGGCTATGCCATAGCTCATACCCAGGGCTCGAACACTGTCTGGGAAATAGAACGCATCTGGTCGTCAGTTACCAGTTATTTTCAAGCCACAACGAGGATTAGCGACACAATGACAATTCGCTGCATGACGAGAATACTGTAACGGCATCTTGAACCTTTTCATGTACGCGCTCGGGGTCTCCTAGAAATTGTGGACCCACACATATGTATCTGTTCAACGAGCTTCCTGTCACAACACCTTTCCAATCTGGGTAGAGCAACTTCCATCAGGATTCAGCAGCAAATCACCACACTCGCCCTATCGATCCATCAACTGTCTGACCCAGGCAGTCAAACGCACTGAAATGGATTCCTTGCAACAGCTGGTCAGTTATTCCTGTTGCTTTCATAGATTCCGAGCAGCCAATGACAATGCCGATTGTGTTCGCAGTCATTGGATGTTGCTGCGATAGAGTCACTGGCGTCACGAGGTACTCTGGACGTTGACTCGTGGAACAAACTTGGTAAGCCAATGCGAAGTTAGTGCTTGAAACAATGGTTGAAGGAAACTGATTTTGTCGTACAGAGTCGCTCGCATCCAAGCTGGCGAAGCGAGCATCTTGCGGAAAAGACGCGTTGATCATAACAGGCCTTTATTTGGGTAAGTCCGTTTGAATACGTATGTAATGTCTACTTTTATTCGTGATCTTCTATGTTCGTTCAAATGTGACGTTTTCCTACTCCAGATCGTTTATCGCTGATGTTGACTTGCGAAAGAGCCTCTGTTCGTAAGCACTACATCAGCATCGTCGGAAGCTGCCTAGAGCAAAGCCATCGGATCAGCAAAAGCGACTCGCTCGCACTAGTAAAGCTTTTGCAAGCTCTGCTCAACAACCGCTCTGCGATATGTCGACTACAGGCTATAACCTCTCTCGTCGCCGCTGCGAAACCGGAAAATCATCACGGCACGGAATTGACAGAGGTTATTTCAGAAGCATTAGCATCAGCGCTGTGCGACAAAAGCAAGCTTGTCAGGCTGAAAGCTGTTAGCCTCTCAAAGCCGTTCTTGTCTTTTCATACCCGGGGGGATCATGTCGGAAAGTTAAAGCCACTTATGGACGCTCTGTTCAGGCTGATATCAGTTCCGCCAGAATCAGGTCTTATGTGTGTGGAGACCTGGGAAGGTGTTGGTGAAGTGCTCTGTCTGTTAACTTTTCCGCATCAAATGGTGTATGAGGAGCTGGCAAATCTCTTTAACGTTGGCCTTAGCCGACCATCGCGGCCTGTGGCAAGCAGAGTCATTCATTGCTATCTCAATGATTATGAACGCTGGGCGGAGTTTTCTGTGAAATGTTCGGAGACATCCTTGGCAACAGTGAAGGATTTTCTGAGGGATGAGGCTTCCCGCAATCACGCCATCATCAAAACCTACAGGAAGATTGTGGACCAAGCCTTTTCTCGCATTTCGCAAGCGGAAAGTCTCTCGAACGGGTGTGCATCACCTTTCAGGATCATTTGGCTTTTCGCCCCAACCTGCACTGAACAAAAAGGACCCAGTACATATGATTCATCCATGGTCAAGCATCTTCAGCGAGCTGTTCAAACTTTCCTCAAGACCAGCCAGGATAAACAACAAACTTCCAGACATATGGTGTCTTGGTGCTTGAAGGTATGGCGGGGTTCTTTCAGCTCACTTGAAGGTGTGCGTTCATCCCACTTACTTTGTTCCCATTGCAGGCTTTTGCAGCCGCCCTGCAGTCTGGACAGTGCACTGGAGTTGAGCTTCAACAGATTTTTGTGAAAGATTTCAACCAGCTGTCGGAAAGTTTTCTTGAGGAGACCATGAACTGTGTTTTTTCATTGGAAACCTCAGTTCAAATATCCCAAAGGGTTCTTCAAACCTTTATGGAGCATAATGGTCTGTGGAAAGAAGAGCAGAATGTAAAAGTTACAGTTACATTCCTCGAACTTATTGGCCACCTCTCTCAACGGTACAAGGTGGCTTCTGATATCTTCATGAAGCGCCTGCGTACAAGCAGAGGTGAATCCAAGAATGCAGAACTCGATTATCTGCAACATGAAGATCTGAAGGCGCAAGAAGAAGGTACGTGTAATACCATTTGCCTGCGTTTCTGGCTTTGGCACATCTATGAATGAATTTCAACAATCTGTGCAGATGCGGCTCAGCATTTTTCGCAACTGCTTCTGGATGGGAATTTCATGCCGGGATGCTATATCCCCATGCTCGTCTCGCTTGCCTCTGAAAGTGATGTTCCACTTGCTGTGCGACTGGCAGCATTGAGAAGCTTGAGTAGCTTTCTCTTGCTGTCTATTGACCTTGCAAAGCGGCATTGCACTCTAATCACACGACTCTTAGAGGATGAGGAGAAACCGGTGAAGGTCGCTGCACTTGCCACTGTGGCCAAACTAATCCTCACTTCTCCGAATGAGTTCCCAGACTTATTGGATGGAGTGAATAGCCTGATGGATTCTGACACCAGTGATGCGCAACTGGAGGCGTATGCTGTCTATGCGCATCTGCTTCTTTCTAAGAAAATGAAGGCACAAGGATTCATGAAGCGGCTGGCTGTGGGGCTGCTGCACAAGGATACTCGGATCAAGGGCTTGATGAAGGAGCTGGTTACACAGTTGATGGACGGAAACGCAAAGAGCCGCTGTGTTTTGGTATTGAGTATGTTCAAGCAGTGCCCAAGGGACCGAAAGGACAGCCTTGCAAGGACTCTTGTTAACGAGGTGCTAGCTCCTTGCGACCTTGAAACTGAAGAGCTTGGAAGCTCTGTGCTGCAGCTCCTGAGGCTGGGACAAAGTGAAGCAGCACAGTTTCTCCCAAAGCTGCATCCCTCCAAAAATTTGGTCTCTAAGATTGATTCCTGGACTCAGCTTGACTCAGCCAAGGTTGGTGCTCTGAAAAGCAAGAAGACATTACAAAGCCTGTTGGAATTCGTGAACCGATACCGACCAGCTTCAGCCGTAGAAAAGGATACCCAGGCAAGGGTTATTTCCCAGCTTGAGAAGATTTGTGGAAGTCACGAGTCACGTGCGCAGCTTTCATACCAAGCCAAGGAGGTCTTCTGCATTGAAGACTATGAAAGAGAAGTCTCCATGTTCAAAGACGTGAGGTTGGACGGATCCTTAGCTGATCTTTTGTGATATTATTCTGTTATGTGACTTCATGCATGCGAGTTGTCACTTTTTATCAACGTCTTGATTGGAAATCATACCACGTATGGTTGTAAGGAACTCCTGAAACATCCAGAAGGAGTGCTCTTGTAGCTGTGACATGCCTGGACGGCATTTGACCTGCCTGTCACAAAGTTGTCTGGTCAACAGGACTGAGTCCTGCCCTGCCAGAAAGGCCTCCTAATCCACCTACCGTAATACCCCGGATATAAGACCCCCTCCAGTTGTAGACCCCTGGGTCTATAATACGGAGGGGGGTACGCTAAATAGGTCGTTTTTGTTATACCCCCCTAAATGGGGGCTAACATTATAAGACCCCCCTCCCCCTAGAGAATCGGTCGTTTTATTGGCAATGACTGCAATTCTGATAGCTTTTCTGCCCCTTTACACACCAAATTTTATAAGATTTTCATTAACGAGGGGTAAAACCAGTCACAAAAGCACATATACTCATCATCATGTCAATTTCGTGTAATAATTTGGATGCTAAACACAAATTTCATTGCGCGTATTCCCTTCTTATGCTAAAAACTAAGCACTTAGTGTTGACATGTATAACTTCCAAAATACTAGTATAAATGACCTTATGATAAGACCCCGGTCTTATAAAATGTAGCCAACTGTTAAGACCCCCCCTCATTTTTGGGGTGGGATTCTTATAATACCCCCGGGTCTTAAATCCGGGGTATTACGGTAGCAGATTATCCAGCACGCTTGAGGCCAAATTCTGATCTATCTCCCCACCCAGCTTCCTCCCTGTCCTCCCCTATATCTGCAATGAACAGTGGGTCCCGACTCGCGTCCGGAACACCACCCCTGCGAACAGTCTCCTCAAAGTCCCTTGATGCGATTGCAATGGCTTCTTTCACTCCTGCTAATGCTGCCTCTGCTGCTGCTTGTGCGGCTGCCTCTGCTGCTGCTGCTGCTGCTGCCACCTCAACATCAGGTGACACAACAGGTCCTTTAGCAGTGGCAATGATGTTCTCAACTGAGGCTTTCCCATTAGGCCCTCCACTTGCTGGCGGAATTATTGTCTCCACCTTTCCCTCAGTTGTGGAACCATTCTCCAGAGCATCAGAACCTGTTTTCTCACTCCCTCCCTCACTCTTACTTTCACTCCCTCCACCTTTCCTATTCTCACTCCCTTCATCACTCCCACCCTCACTCTCGGCCTTCTTGTCGCCATCTTTAGCCTCGGAACGGACTTGCAGCTTCGGTACTGTCACCCCTAAGATTGCTAGCTTCGGCTGGGACATAGGCAGACGTTCAGGCCGAGCCAAAGCAGCAGCATTGGCAGCAGCTGCAGCAGCAATAGCTGCAACTGCAGAAGCAGCAGCGACAGCAGCAGCAGCTCTCTCTTCAGCATCTCTCATCTCTGATTCAGACATCGCTGTGACATCTGCCTCAGACGCAACCACTTCAGAAGGTTCTGCCGTTCCACCTTCTGTTGCTGCAGGAAATTTTGGCACCACAACTCCTGCAGGAGAATCACTCTGATTAGCCGCCAATGATGCAGCCCCTAGTTGTGCTTCACTCGATTGCGCTTGTGACTTGACAGGCTCTGTTGCACCAGCTGCAAGACCATGCTCTGTTGCCGAAGCAACCCCACCTGTAACACGAGCTCCTGTCCCTACAGAAGCTTTTCCTGCAACAGCCTCTGCAGATTCATTTGAAGCAGATTCGTTTGAAGCAGCTTCGTTTGAAGACGTACCCTCTTGACGGGCCAGTCTTGCCACCGCTTCCTTAGCAGAATCCACCAATCCAGCCATGCCACGTGTCCCTTCAGCCACAGCAGCAGCCAACTTCCCCCGTATCGCACTCACCACCTGCCTTATGCTCTCCTGTGCCGGATCCTCATCAGCAGTCTTGGGAATCGAACCTAAACCTCTCTGAACAAGATGCTTCTCCTCAGCTGCTATCTCCTTCACGTCCTCTTGCTTTTTCTCGACCGCTCCTTTGATCCCCTCTCTCATACTCAGATCTGCATTATCCGAGACATTAGCTGTGACGGTGCTGCTGCTGCTGCTGCTGCTGGCACTGCTGCTGCTGATAATGCTGCTGCTACTGCTGACATTGGAACCAAGACTGCTGGTTGCGGTTTTATCGATGCTGCTGTCAACAGGGCTCATTCCTCCACTGCTATTCGCTCCCGTACCACTTCCTATCAATGCCTTATCCTTCCCAACTATACCACTCAACCCAGTATCGCCCCCGTCATGGCTCCCAAATGACTGCGCCTTATCATCCTTACTCTTCCCATTTCCCTCATCCACACTGTCAGTGGTTTTATCATTCCCATTCTTCGCTGTGACACTCCCACTCTCCCCACCAGCATCACTCCCAGACTTTCCACCAACATCACCCCCACTCTTCCTCCCAGCATCATCCCCATCCCTGTTTAAAAAGGCCATAGCCTTACCCAACAGCTCAGAAGCCTCGTCCTCTCCCATCCTTCGCTTTCCATTCCCACCCCCTTCCTTTCCCCCAACACCACCCCCGCTCGTGCGACCAATTCCCATTGCCTTGTACAGCAGGTCAGCCGCACCATCCTCCCCCATCAATCGCAGCAGGCCAGCCAGTAAAGCCCCTTCCAGGGCATGCCCCTCCTTGCTGCCCTCCTTGCTCCCACTCCCCCTCCCCTTCACCTTTCCCCCCTTTCCCCCAGCAGCTGTGACTGTGCTGCGTGTGCCTGTAAGCGGTGTTTCAGAAGCAGGAGAGGCTGTGGGTGGTGCTGCTGTAGCAGCAATGACAGTGGTAGTAGAGGGTGTGCTGTTATCGATGGCCGTGCTGCTGTGAGCAGACGTGACAGTATCAGGAGGAGCGGATGTGACAGTATCAGTGGTTTGGGATGTGATCGTATCAGGGACTGTGGGCGTGACAGTATCACCAGGGAGTGTGGTGCTGGCAGTGCTGGCAGCGGGACGAGTGGAGAGGGAAGAACCAGCTTCTGACAAACCCCTTTCCTCCTTCACCTGCTGCTGCTGCCGGTTCTGCTGCACCTGCTCCTGTTGCTGCTGCTGCACTGACAGCGCCTGCTCTGAATCCCCCTTCCTCTCGCTTTTTAAAAAGCTGTCCTTTGCCATTCCCCTTTCCTTCGCTTTGTCCTCTGCTTTCCCCTTGTGAGGTGCGGTGGAGAGCTGTTGCGGCAGCAGATCGCATTTCTTCAGGAGGCTGGTGATGGCAGAGCTAACGAAAGCCTTGATCTCCGCATCCACCACCGCCTCTGCCTCCTCCACCCTGTTGTGTAAGGAGGAGAGAGAATGGAAAAGCGGGTGTGCAAATGGCTGAGCTGACAAACACCTTATATCCGCATCCACCGCCGCCTCTGCCTCCGCCACCCTGTTGTATGCAGAAAGCGAAGAAGAGAGGGAGTGGGTTCATGGGTTATAAGCGGCAAATCTCCAGGCATCAACCCCAGCTGACAAACGCCTTGATCTCCGCATCCGCTACCGCCTCTGCCTCCTCCACCCTGCAGGAAGTGAGAGGGAGTGCGCTTATGGGTTATAGGCATCAATGTAGAGGATATAGCTATCAACCGCAGATGACAAACGTCTTGATCTTTGCACCCACCACCGCCTCTGCCTCGCTGGCTCCCCAGCAGCACCCGATCCATGCACTCGTGCACCACCAGCTCTGCATCTCGCAGCAGCGGCAGGGTTGACCTGGGGGAGGGTGCACTGTGGGAGGCGGAGGTGAAGCAGCAACTACTCGCCTCCGTGTAAACGAGTCAACAATGACAGTGAAGGAAGACTCCAAACCAGCAGTCTTTCTCCCCCACTGACTCCCCAGCAGCACCCTATCCATGCGCTCCTCCACCACCATCTCTGCGGTTCACATTCTATCTTCCCTCAACAACAAGCCTGCATACTCACCTCCTTTCAAACGAGTTCACGACAACTGTGAAAGAGGGTTCCAGCCCTGCAATCTTCCTGCCCCACTGACTCCCGAGCAGCACACGATCCATGCCCTCCTGCACCACCACCTCTGCATCTCGCAGCAGAGACAAGGCCTAAACCCACCTCCGTTCAAACGGCTCCAAACCAGCAAGTTTTCTCCCCCACTGACTCACCAGCAGCACGCGATCCATGCCCTCCTGCACCGCTAACTCTGCTTCTTCGAGGCTTCAACTAAACCCACCCATTGAACACCCCGAATCTCGACTGCTCACCTCCGTTCAAACGAGTCCACGATGACAGAAGGAAGGCTCCAGCCCGGCCAGTTTCCTCCCCCATTCACTTCCCAGCAGCACCCGATGCACGCACTCCTGCTGTGCATCTCACTCACATTCCTCCCACCTCTCCTCAGACAAGCCAAGACCCATCTCCGTTCAAACGAGTCCACGATGACAGTAAAGGACGGTTCCAAGCCAGCTAGTTTCCTCCCCCACTGGCTCCCCAGCAGCACCCGATCCATGCACTCCTGCACCACCAGCTCTGCTGCTGATCTCATCTCATCTGCTCAACTCATCTGCTCACCTTCGTTCAAACGAATCCACAATGACGGTAAAAGAAGGCTCCAAACCAGCTAGTTTCCTCCCCCATTGACTGCTCAGCAGCACCCGATCCATGCACTCCTGCACCACCATCTCAGCGTCTCGCAGCAGCGGCAGGGTTGACCCGGGGGAGGAAGAACCGAGGGAGGCGGAGGGGAAGGAGCCGAGCATGGGACCCAACTCCTGGGCGAACTCCTGCATCTGAGAGAGGGGGAAAGAGAGGAGATGGAAAGGGAAAGAGAGGGGGGCATGTGTGTTTGCTGCAGCAGCGGCAGGGTTGACCCGGGGGAGGAAGAACCGAGGGAGGCGGAGGGGAAGGCGACGAGCATGGGGCCCAACTCTTGAGCGAACTCTTGCATCTGAGGGTCTGGAAATTGCAAAGATAAGGGCACGGGTGGGGGCCGGAGATAGGCGATGGGGGGAAGGAGGGGAAGGGAGGACGCCTTACTTTCACCCCCTCACACCAACACCTCTATTCATACCTCTGGCGGGTCTGGGAACATGCCATCGTCCGCAAACTGACAAGGGCATGGGTGGGGGGAGGGGGAATGGGGGAAGGCGAAGGGGGAAAAAGGGGGGGAGGAAGGGTTAAGGAGAAGGGTTGCAATAGTAGTAGTCCAATGGACAAGGCATGGTTGAGCAACAAGAAAATGTGCAAACATTAAGTAGTGATTATAACTGTGTTTGACATCACAAAAGGTGAAAAGGACGTAAGAAAGAAACGCATCCCCCTTCTCATCCGCCCCTCATTCGAGCTCCATCCACCATCCACTTTCCCCTTGCCTCCACCTTTTCCCCCCTCACCTCTGGCAGGGAGTCAAACACATCCTTCTCTCTCTTGCTCCTCCTCCCCCTCCACCTGTGTTTTGATCCGATCCCACAGCTAGTCTTTTAACCATCCACCATGTCCGCTCTCCCTTACCCCTCCAATCCCCTCCTCACCTCGTGTGGGTCTGGCAGGGAGTCAAACGGACCCTGCTCCTCTGCTGCTCCTCCCCCTTCACCTGTGCTTAGATTGAGTTGACTCAATGTACACCCTTGAAAACTTTCCACGCTTCCCTCTCTCCGCTCTCCCTTCCCACCTTCCCCTCCTCACCTCGTGCGGGTCTGGGAAAGAGTCAAACGGATCCTCCTCCTCTGCTCCCCCCCCTCCACCTGTGTTTTGAGTCGACTCAAAACATGCCCATTTCCATTTCCATTTCCCTTTCCCCTGACACCCTGCCCCTCCATCCCCCTCACCTCGTGCGGGTCTGGGAAGGAGTCAAACGGATCCTCCTCCTCTGCTCCTCCCCCCCCTCCTCCTGCCCCTGCGCCATCCACTGCCGCAATCTGGGTGCATTGAATTCAGGGTGGTTGGGGATTGGGGGAAAGAGAGTGGAAAGAATGCGGGGAAAGAAAAAAGAGCACAAGAACCAACCATGTCAATGAATGGTGGATGTGCTCCAGAATGAACTAACATGCTTCTCCCACCCCCCTTCTGCAGCACATCCACCAGCTTATCGCTGCAGTGACCGCAGCACCATCCATTGCAACAATAAGGGGGAAGAGGAGGGGGCAAAGCGAGGAGCATGTGGCTGTTTCCATTCCAGCTGCAGTCAACCAAGACATTTCAATTCTTGAGAAAAACAGAGCTTGAAAAGACACGCGACTTTAATGGTAGTGAGTCCTTGAGAGATTTCAAGCATCACACAACCCCACTAGCAGCTGATGCAACAGCTCATAACCCCTCCTTACTGTCCCCTCACCTGCCCAACGCCCATCATCATGCCAGCCTACCTACACTTGTCTGGCGGCTGTTCTTGCTTGCATCAATCCCACGAAAAAAAATTATCCATACCAGATGCCAGCACAGCACAGCACCCCCTTGAACCTCTTGAGCTGCTATTCCACCCGCACCGCACTACCTGTGCTTGCCTGGCGGCTCTCCTCGCTCGCATCAATTCCATGAAGCATTGATCCACACTGGGCGCCAGAAGAACAGTGCACCCCTTCGAGGTTTGAAGCAGCTCAAGAACTGCCTGCATATAGAACAAGCGTGCTCACCACACCACACCACCCACCTGTGCTTGTCTCGCTGCCCTCCTCGCGCGCATGAGTCCCATGAAGTATTGCTCCACACTCGACGCCAGCAGTTTATCCAGCTGCTTCTTGTTGAAAAAGTAAGGGCGGTACCTGTGGGGGGAGGAGGGGAAGATATGAATGCACAAGGGTCAACATTGGTCAACGATGGAGGCCAGCAGTTTATCCAGCTGCTTCTTGTTGAAGAAGTAAGGGCGGTACCTGTGGGGGGAACAAGTGGACAGATAGGGGGGTGATAGGGGGCAGCCTAAGAGTCAACAGGGGGTCAATGGTGGTCAATGCTGGTCCACACTGGATGCCAGCGGTCGGTCCAGCTGCTTCTTGTTGAAGAAATGAATAGCAAGGAGGGAGGAAGGAGGGTAGGAGAAGAAGGGGAAACCAGCCAGCCAACAAGGGTGAGGGCGTGATGGCACCACACCACACTCACCACCTCAACACACTACCATTTCCGACACGCCTGCCTCACTCAAATCTCAGCTGGGCATCCTTTGAAGCGCCTCAAAAGGGGAAACCAGCCAACAAGGGTGAGGGCGTGATGGCACCACACCACACTCACCACCTCAACACACGACCATAGGGTTTTTTTGAGAATTCTAAAAAAAACCCTCCAACACGCCTGCCTCACTCAAATCTCAGCTGGGCATCCTTGGATGTCACAGCAATGCTTAGATTCGCTACATGGGAAACCGGCAGTGGAGGGCGATAGCACCTGGCTTAACTACCACCTTAGCGAGCGCACCACCCCGCCCCCACCACCACTCACGATCGAAGTAGTGTTTTAAGACGTCTCAAAACACTTCTTCAATCATTCGCTACACGGGAAACCGGCAGTGGAGGGCGATAGCACCTGGCTTAACTACCACCTTAGCGAGCGCACCACGCCCCCACCACCACTCACGATCGTAGCTGGCCGCCCTTGGACGGAACAGCAATCGTTGGATTCTTTGCCTGAACACCAGCACTCCCTTAAAGCCCGAGTACAGCGATGGTCGCCAACACTCACCACCTCAGTTGGCCGCCCTTGGACGGCACAGCAATGGTCAGATTCACCGCACTGAACACCGGCACTCCCTGGAAGGGGAAGTGCCTCTATTGCACCTAACTCACCACCTCAGCACACCGCCACCACCCACCATCTCAGCTGCCCGCCCTTGGGCGGCACAGCAATGGTCAGATTCGCTGCACTGAACACACCGGCACTCCGTAAACGGATGGCCCATACCCACCATCTCAGCACGCCCCCACCACCACTCACCATCTCAGCTGGCCCCCACCACCACTCACCATCTCAGCACGCCCCCACCACCACTCACCATCTCAGCACGCCCCCACCACCACTCACCATCTCAGCACGCCCCCACCACCACTCACCATCTCAGCACGCCCCCACCACCACTCACCATCTCAGCACGCCCCCACCACCACTCACCATCTCAGCACGCCCCCACCACCACTCACCATCTCAGCTGGCCCCCTTTGGACGGCACAGCAATGGTCAGGTTCGCCACACTGAACACACCGGCACTCCTTGGAACTGATCCGTCACTCCTTTTTGCGGAGGAGATAGGGGCGATGGCACCTCACTCACCACCTCAGCTGGCCGCCCTTGGACGGCACAGCAATGGTCAGATTCGCTGCACTGAACACCGGCACTCCATGGAATCGCTCCGCCGCTTGCCGCCCCTCCAGCTGGCGCAGTAACTGCCGTGCCGCCCGCACCTGACTCTCGTCCGGCACGAAGGAAAAAAGCGGGTGGCGGAACTGGGCGGCAAAGGGTGGGGTGGGGGGAGAAGGGGAAGGGGCGGCGAAGGGGGGTGGGCGTCAAGGGATTGGCATAAGCTGTTGAAGACAAAAAGTGGGTGGCAATACTACTTGGCGAAGGGTGGGGTGGGGGGAGAAGGGGAAGGAGTGTCAAACGGGGACGAGCAGCGAAGGGGGACGGGCAGCAAAGGACAGAGGGCGAATGAAGGGCATAAGCTGTTGAAGAAGAAGTGACAGGTGGGATGCAAATCAGGACCTGGGAGAGTTTCCTGGAGTGTTATCCAGGCCAAGGACATTGAATCGCCACCGCACACCAACATTGCTGGTGCCAAATGAGCCCATTCCGCTCTGACATGAGTTGAAACCTTCCCAGAATTCAGGGCTATCAGTTGAGACCTTAAGCACTGGATTCAGATAAAGCCTCCCTCACACCAACCTTGAAGAACCGATAGGCGACTTCTAGAGGGCAGAATCCGATCGTGCTGGCTTTCACCTCGTCTGGAGCGAACGGGTACAGCTGCAGGCGTCGCAGGTAGCGTGCTGGGGGGAGGGTGTAGGGGGGAGGGGAGGAAGGAGGAGAAGGAGGGGGATGATATCAGGTGTTCTCAGCACACTACAGAAAGAGAGATATAACCCAATCATGCTGGCTTTCACCTCGTCCGGAGCAAACGGGTACAGCTGCAGGCGACGCAGGTAGCGCGCTGTGGGGGGGAGGTACGAGGAGGGAGAGGAGGGGGGAGAGGACGGGACGAGATGTGGCATTTCAGGCAACCTGGAGCACGACGGCACAGCCCAGCAGTGCTGGCCTTCACCTCGTCCGGAGTAAACGGGTACAGCTGCAAGCGACGCAGATAGCGCGCTGGGAAAGATGGGGTGGGGTTGTGGGGGGGTTAAGAGTAAGGGGGACGAGAAGGCGCATTTCATTCATCCTGGAGCACGAGGGCTCTGCCCCCGTTCGAGGGCACATCCCAGCAGAGCTGGATTTCACCTCATTCGAGGCAAACAGGTACAGCTGCAAGCGACGCAGGTAACGCGTTGGGGGAGGGAGGGAGGAGAAGAGAGGAGAGGGGAGAGGAGGGGACGAGATGGGGCATTTTAAGCAACCTGGAGCACGAGGGCTCTGCCCTGTGATAAAAGGAGTGTTTATAGTGCAGGGACCACGAGGAGTGCTTTCAACTTGTTCGAGGCAAATGGGTACAGTTGCAGCAGGCAATGCAGGTGTCGCGCTCGGGGGAAGACGCGGGTTGAGTCCAGGGACCCTAGACGAAGAGGTCGGGGGTCCCCCGTTTGCACTGAGTGAGTGACGTGAAGATCAAGAGGGGATGGGACGGCTTTGCCGCTCTTCACTCCATTCACTCAGTGCAAATGGGTACAGTCGCAGGTAGCGGGCTGGGGAAGAAGAGGCAGGTTGGGTCCAGGGACCCTAGATGAAGAGTTCCCCTGAACCTCTAGAGTGAATGACGTGAATATCAAGAGCGCACGAGCCAGCTTTTTGAGACGTCTCAAAACACCTTTATTATCAAGAGCGCACGAGCCAGCTTTGCTGCTCTTTCACTCCATTCCATTCACTCAGGGCCAACGGGGATTGCCTGCAGGTGCCACGGGTTTACCGGGCTAGTGGGTGGGAGGGTTGGGGGAAAAGGTGAGAGGGACCAGAATTGGGCCAAAGGAACTTGTTCTAGAAAAATGAGTGAGCTTCGATTGTAAGACGATTTCAAGTGCTCACTGCCCCTCACCTGCAGTGCCTCTGCTCAGAAAGAATCGAAAAACACCCTCTCCCTCGCCGCCCCTTTTCTGCTTCTCCTCTGCTACCTCGCCCTCCCTCCCTCCTCTCTCCTTCTCCACTCCCCTTCTCTCCTTCCATTCCACTCCCCTTGCCTTCTCTTCCCCACTTGTCCCCATCTCTCCCCCGTTTCTTTCCGCTTCCCCTCCACCTGCCTCTCCCCCTTCTCCTTCCCCCTTGCCCACAATGCCTTGGAGGGAGCGCGTCAGTAGCCTGGATGAGGGGCGGGATTGGGTGGAAGGGATGACTTTGAGTCGACTCAGAAGTCAATGCCTGGGAGGGAGCGCTTCAGTAGCCTGGATGAGGGGCGGGATCGGGTGGAAGGGACGGAGGGGAGTGGGGAAAGGGGGAGGCGGAAAAATGGTGGAGGCGGGAAAGGTGGGGAATGGCGCGCCCTTCGATCACCACATTCCCCACTCAGAGCGATCTGCAATCCCCCACCCAATCCAACCATTCCCAACCACTCACCCTTGCAGAGGCTGCCCCTTCTGCCCCGGCCATCGAAGGGGTCAGCCATTCTCACACAGCCCAAATACAACACGCGAACCACACCCCACCCATTCCCACCACTCACCCTGACAGATGCTGTCACTGCTTCTCCACCCACTCGCCCATCCCTGTGAAGGGGGACGGCTCGACCTTGACGCCCAGCATGCCCCTTTTGGAGGGGTCAACCACTCTCACCCAGCACAAACACGCGAACCACACCGCAACCATCCCAACCACTCAGCCTTGCAGCTGTTGTTGCTGCTGCCCCACCCACTCGCCCATCCCTGTGAAGGGGGACGGCTCGACCTTGACGCCCAGCATGCCCCTCTTGGAGGGGTCTGCCACGAGAAACACATTGCCCATGAACGCTGGTCCCCCCATGATGGGGGCCCCATCCGCTGGAATGATGCAGTGCCGTGCAGTGCTGCCAATCCCTTCCCCCAGCCCCCTCCTCAATCACCCCCACCCAATCACACCGACAAAATGACTCACCCTGTGAGCTTCTGCTGCTGCTGCCCCACCCATTCCCCCATCCCTGTGAAGGGGGACGGCTCGACCTTGACGCCCAGCATGCCCCGCTTGGAGGGGTCCGCCACGAGAAACACATTGCCCATGAACGCCGGCCCACTGCCCACCCGCTGCTGCTGGTCCGTGGGGAGGAGGGATGGCAGCGGTGGCATGGGCATGGGGGAAGGGCGAGAGCGGGTTGGAGAGGAGGAGGGTGGTGGGGAGGAGGAGGAGGAGGAGGAGGAGGAGGAGGAGGAGGAGGAGGAGGAGGAGGAGGAGGAGGAGGAGGAGGAGGAGGAGGAGGAGGAGGAGGAGGACGACGAGGTCGAGGAAAGAGAGGAAGAGGAGGAAGAAAGAGAGGAGGAGGAGAGTGGGGCGGACAGCTGCAGCGTAAACCCCTCCTGAACCTCCTGAATCTGCCAAAAGGCCCCTGAATCTTCTCCCACTCCCACTCCCACTCCTTTCAGCATGACATTAGCAGCACTGCCACACCCGTGTGCTGCTGCGGGCAGCTTTTCGGGCACCTTGAAACTTCCAAACGGCCTTAGGATTCCTCGCTGCACGACCGGTGCAGCACTACCGCCGCCAGCAGCCGCTGCCGCTGCGGGCAGCCGGGCGGAGGACCAGAGCAGCCGAGCAGGCTCGGAAGGCTGGATCAGGTTCGGTGAGTGTGGTTGGATCAGGGGAGCGCACGGTTGGGGTTTCACATCGCCTAGCCATTTCGCCGCATTCGCCACTGGACTTTTCAAGGCCAGAGCGATCCCACCCACCAGTCCTGGAAATCCATGCATCCCTAAACGAGATAACGGTCCTGCTTGTAACGCGCCTGGTTGTTCGAGCGACCGTTGCCATCCCCACGTTCGGTGATGCGGTCGAGCGCGTTGTGAACCGTCGGATTGAGATATCACACTGAGATGCCGCTCCGCTGATGCCGTCCGTCGGTTCGTCTGATCCTGAGACCCACTACCACCGTTCTTAGTCTGCTTGAGGCGGTTCCTGCGTGGCGAACGCTTCACGATCACGCGGTATTGCTGCTGGGACGGGCTGCTAAAATTTAAATTCCCTGAGGAATCGCGAGGCCCGGTGGCGAGGAGGTAGATGTGGAGGCTGTCGTGCGTGTCGCTGGTAACCACTTCCGCGCGCTCGTCGTGTTCGTTACTAGCATCGCATGGACATCCTGCACATTGTACGTGGACATCCTGCATGGTCGCGGATTGACTTCTGTATTCTAGCGGCTCCTCACACCTCTCCGCCATGGCTTGAGCAACTACTTCGCAAAAACAGCTCAAGTGAAATCTCTGGTAAGACCATAAAATCCATTTACAGCAGAAGTCTTAGGGTGTGTTTACACTGGCAGTACTGTCAAGTGCTCAAGTGGTAACAGCTGGTAACAGAGCTGTAGTTTTACAAAACCTTACAAAAATTGTCATAAAAAATAATCCTTAATTTTATATTTTATTTTTAACTAAAGGGCGGAATCAGCAACCTTGCACCTTCTCTTATACTCGTACATTTGAGCCACGACTTGCTAGTAATCCGCGACACCTTGACACGACGAGCCGATCGAAACTACAATCGTGGATCTACCGTGACGGTGTTGGCGCACGTTGTTACGAAACTAGTGCTTATCCGGCAGGCTATTAGTGCACGGCGCAGAGTGGAGTCTTCCTTGCAACGGCGTGGTTTGAGCTTTGTGTTGAGCAGCAGAGGACATCATGGTATATCTCAACGCCCCGACTACATCCGGGTGCAAAAACGACGCGGCTCGGGAAAGGGATCCGCCACCCTGCGTCATCCTGTCCGGCTAACTGAGTGCACGTCCTGGGCGAGGAGCGTCACCCTGCGTCACCCGGCAATCCCGATGAAAAATACCCCGATAGCACCTCTCAACGGACCCTCCGTACGAGGTCGACACGTCGACGACGCCGGTCGCGGCCAGCGTGCCACGACGCCCACCTAGCCATCGGCGCGGACTACGACGTGAGGCCCACCGCGATTTCTGGCCGACCACTGTGCTGGCGCGCAGAGCCACACGTCGCCCATCCGAAACACAACATTCCACGCGGCGAACATCGATCGGCAAACGTCTGTCCACGCGGCGATCAAGCCTTCGCCGGCCTGCTGGCGGGAACGTCCCCGCGGGATACCATCGTCGGGCGACGCGATGAGCACTGCTGCGTCACGCCGACGTGTAAGCACGGTTCACCGTGACGGGAACACCGGACAGTCGGCTGCGAAAAAGACATGAGTGCCCCGTGCCACGTCGACCATTGCACCGCCGTGCCGTTCTGCCTTGCATGCAGAGTTGGAGACCTGCCCACGGATCGCCCACCAACACCTGTCTGCCCGAACCGCGACTGTGCCTCTCTATGCTATGACCCCCTGACGGCCAAGTGTCCATGGCATTTCGACACTTGTTTGTTGCGTTGCATTCATTTCCATTCTGGTGAGCCACATTTCCCTTAATCATTTTCACGCTTCTCGGAGACCGACCGACCACGCGTGGTGCAGGGTCGACGACGAGCCACGCCGGTGTAGAGTGCGTTTAGGTCGGCAAACTTTACGGGCTTCCGACTTAGGATCATTCCGACTAGGACGACTAACTAGGTCGACAACAACCGAAAGTCGCCGACCTCTTTCTTCAAACCCACAACCAGTATTGTCATCGCCGGTGATCCCCCGTGCGGCCTCGAATGGTCAGGGACCAGTCTAACAACATCCCGCCGGACAACACCCCGCCGAACGATACATTGCCACTTCACACCCCGCCGACCATTGTGCCGCCGACCACGGCCACTCCGAACATCACCCAGCAGAACACCAATCCGCCGCCCTTACTTCCCGAATTTCCCGAACTGACCAACATTGCCGCGGAGTTGACGATCGCCGAGAACGTTGAGAGGGCCGAAAGACGGGCGGCCTTTAGGGCCACGGTGCGAAGGCAATACACGGCAGCGATTGTGCAGTATCGACTTTGGTGGGCTGAGCACGTACCGCCGCGAGATCGCGGCGACAACTAGAGGCCGACGGGAACAACTCTACCCGCCGAGATGGCTGGCGTCGCGCCGCCGGCGGGGAGCAGCGCGATTCCCGACCTGAACGAGCCTTTCATGGAGGAAGATGTACACACCGCTAAGGCAAATATTCCCGCCGACATGGTGGTCGACGTAGATGCCGCTAGGGCGAAAATTCCCGCCGACCCGACCATCCCCCTACCGCCAGGGACGAAAGGGGCTCCCGAACCCGAGCCGGACCGGTACTCGCCGCGTTCAGACACGGAGCAGCCGCCGCCAATTGGACCATTTCCAGAAAACGACTACATGTATCTGACCGTAGAGGACTTGTTGGCAGCCGACGAGAAAGATGACGCCTTCCTGCAAAACATTCCGCGCGACGATTTTGCAGAAGCCGCCTTCGACATCAACAAAGAGCTCGCCAAGAAGAACAGATTGCTGAGGATGATGTGGGGTTTCCGGCATCTGGACACGCTGGAGGCGAGAACGACCCGGTTTCAGTACCTGCGGGCGCTGCTCGACTTCAGGAGATGGTGCTGCGCGAACCTTCCAAGACAGCAAACCGCCAGAGTCAAGGGGGACGGCGTGCTGGAACACGAGGACGAGATAGGGAGGTACATCGACGAAGACATGGGTGATCAGTGGCACACCGCCAAGGGCAACCTACAATGGATGCACGGTCCCCGCGTCAACGCCACGCGGATCAGGGCGTACATTCTGTCGATCGCGAGGCAGGAAGGTATTGCAAAGGCCGAGGAGCTCGAGGAGCTGAATCCCGACGTCCGTGTCCAGCCCCTGAAGCCGACAACCGTTTCGATGCTGCTCATACGCATCAAAGCGCTCCAGACAGCCTGCAAGGTCGAGGGGACGCTCTTCGGGGTGAAGGAGCTCCACATCATGTACGACATCTCCGAGGTCCGCTCGGAGGTGCGCGCGATGGTCAGAGAGAAGTGGCACAGGGACGACAGGTAAGTCGGCAAGTCGTCCCGTGCGGTTCACGCCTGTTTCCCGGTTCGCCCAGCTAACCCAGTCCTCGTGGAAACTGATGTGCAGGGATTGCGTCGACCGGCACCGCGGAACGCTCGGCGACACGTACACCACCGACCAGATCCGCCACCTCATGTTCAAGGTCTTGCCGACCTGGGCAGCTCGGGCGTACGAACCCAAGGCGGCCACCCCCTCCCAGACACTGTGGAAGTTTCTGCTGATGAAGACGATGACCCTCTTGGGTCACCACACCCTTCTCCGCGGAGGCAGTCTCCGAGCGATCGAGCTCCCCGACCTGTTTTTGTACAGAATGGGGAACGCGTCGCCCGAGCACTCCACGCGACGGCCGGTTGTCATGGTCGTCGCGTCACGAAACTCCAAGACGAACAAGGATGCTCGTCTGCATCACAGCTACGCGGCGAGACACCTGGAGCAAGAGATGTGCGCCGTCGGTCACACACTGTTGTGGCTGCACTTCGTGTACGACCAGCTGAGCCGCTCGCCCACCTCTCGATGTGTGCCGCCCCTCGACTTCACAACTCCGTACAGCTGGTATCACAAGCACCTCTTTCATGCTCGGAACGACAAGGCACAAAAAGAGCTGCCGGCTTCATCTCATTCTCGGATCACGAAAGAGATGTGGCGGACGAACAAGATCTTCATCACGCGCAACACCCACGCCGCTCGGGTGGGTGGGGCACAGGAGCTGGCCGACGACGGCGTTCCGCGATCTGACATCGCCGACTTGGGCCACTGGGCGCTCGACAAGCTCGCGAAGAGCTACATCACGACCATCCCGAAGGCGGCGGTGTTGAGAAAGGCCGGCTACACGGGCAAGCGCGGCGACTACCACCTCGGCCGGAGCATGGTGAAGCCCGACGACAAGGTGGTGGCCCTCATCGCCCAGCACATCTTTCCGTGGGCGGAAGCGGAACTGGCCAAGGTGAGCATTTCGGACGGCAAAAACGCCGACAACCCGCCGACCATTTCCACGACGACATTCTACCGACGGCTGATTGTGTTTGTGTTTGTGTTCGACTCGCAGGCGGTAAGGTGCGCATCCGCGAGAGAGCCCAACACGGCCGGGGTGCACTTCCTGCAATCGCTCATCGAGTTCGGCCGCCGAATCGTTGCCGAGGATCTTGCGTGCATGCTGATGCGCGAACCGTGGCACCCGTACGTCCAGAGTTCCAAGCTCTGCCGCGACCCTGACTTCCAGAAATGGGCCAAGGACGTCAACCGGGTGGACCTCGAAACCATCGCGACGCGCAGTACTCCGAGCGAGAACCCCCAAGAGGTACGGCGTGCGCGTTCCGGCGACATGTAAAACAAGTCGTCCTGCCACATTGCCTCACCTTTTGCCGACCATCCCCCTTGGATCGCAGGAATTCAGCGCGCGAGTTGACGCCGAATATCAGGTCGACCAGCTCACCATGATGCTGCACCGCCAGAGGGAGGATGCCGCGATCGAGAAGCTTGAAATGCAGAAGAAGTTGGAGGAGAAGGACGCGGAGATCGCGAAGTTGATGCAGGCTCTCAAGCTGGCCGAGGCACGGCCGACGCCGACTGCGCTGGCGCCGTCAAGGCCGATGACCGCCGCCGAGAAGGCAGCGTCCGTCAAGATCGAGAAGGAACAGAACGATGATCTGACGTACGAGGTCAACGTCGTGCATCCTTGGCGCACATCCAAGACGGTCGAGGCTGCATGGCGCTGGTGGAATAACCCGTCCAACTTCGACTCGCGTCCGTTGCGCGAACGTTACGACGAGCACAGATTCCTCGTCAGACAC